CCAGCCCCCTATCACCCCCTCCTCCCCAATCCCGAAAAAAAAATTAAGTTTGTTTATAAAAAAATATTTTCAATTTCAAAAATTATTTTCTACTCTAGTAAAAATAAAAGATATTTCTCAAAAATATTTTTCATTCATAAACCAAACACTACAAATCTTTTCCGGAAAATATTTTCTACTCACCAACCAAACATGAGAAAATAAGTCAAAAATCTACTTGTTTTCCAGGAAAACATAAATTTATTTTATATTGAAAAGTTATAGGATTTTTTTAAAAACTTTTATGATACAATAAAACTAAATAAAGCATTTTCAACATATTTCAAATATGGGCAGGTTGAATTATTACCCATTTTATGTTGACCCATTTTCAACCCGCCCAAATTTGACCCAACCTGTCCATTTGCCACCACTAATTTGATAACGCACGAGAAATTAATCTGAATGCACACGAGAATTCTACTTTTATGAGGTAAATTTGATTATGTGTTCAAGTGCATATTCATAATTTGATCATAAAATTGAAAGTCCGACTTGATTATTGTTGATAACTTGTTACTTGTCAACGATTTTCCAAAGAAGAGTATTTGTGTAATCGAAACATTATGGATGGGTCATTAGATAGTAATGGAAAAGTAAGAGAGGATCAAAATATTTACTTGAGCATCTCCATTAAGCTTAATTAAGCTAATTAGGAAATCAATAAATGCTGACAAAGGAAAACCGAATATATACGAAAGGTTTGATAATATTTGGATTGATATTAATAATAGACAAGCAAGTGCCTAGTGATTAATTATTAATGAACAGATCTCATATCTAATGTTAGTACTTGTTAGTTTAGTATTACAAGGTTTACATAATTGAATCAAGAGTCTATAATTGCCAGCATATTAATTATGTATGAAGCTTATTTAGGTAGTAATAATTGTTAATAATCCCATCTGTACAAGTAAAATAAAAATGTACTACTACCAGATACTAATACTATATGGCATTTACAAGACACCTAGCTCATATATATTATTACCAACAACTTTTGGTAACAAACAGATTAAGCAAACTACATATATGTACACAATCTTATATCACTCCATGTCCAAAGAAGTAAAAAATATGTTTCAATTTTGATAAAGCAATTCTAGAGTACACTCCTCTTCCTCTAACAAAAAAAAAATGTCACGTCTCTTGCTACCTCAGGAGGTTGATTTTTATAAAGAAAAATAAAAAATAAAAAGAGAAAAAAATGACGAGGTCACTTTTTCGACCTAAGGTTACTTATTTTTGGTCGATTTTGATTGTTTTATTAGTAGTGAATTTTGTTGGACAATATTTTTTTGTCTTTCTTACTAAACATTAGAAAATAAATTTAAAAATTATTTATTTATTATAGCAAATACTAAAGTGACACGTCTTTTCATTATTTTGTTAAAAAGAAATTCTTTAAGTTGCTAAGGTTACTAAGTCAAATTGATTCTCCTTTCTTACAAGAAAAAAAAATCCAAGCTCAAAAAAGCTAGAAGCCTTCACCAAACTTAAATCTGAGGCTAGAGGTTTTATTTTTAAAAAATAAAAAAATCCTTCACCATATTTTACCATCTAATAATACTAAATAAACCCATGAGCTATTTCAATGACATAAAAAGGCTGTACTCTTATCTTATGTTTCTCATGAAGCTTTTTTCTTCTTTATGTCAATAATTTAATTATTAGTATATTACTAGTTGAGTTTAAGTTAATATACAAAATATAAACACATTTATTGATTGGATCAAATTCATAAATTCATTTTTTTTCACTTATGGGTCCAAGTGTATGTCTAATCGCATGAAGAGCAAATGCTATCTTATGACTTTTGAAAATTAGAAGTCAAAGAAAATGTGAACATTTATAGATTGGAACATGAAAATAGAATTACAATTATAGCTATAATATATTAATGTTTTCTGAAATCCTAAATAAATTTGATGATAATGTCACTTAATTCTTTTTTTTTTCTTTTGCAAAGAAGGAACTAATTTTGGTATTTATAAAAGATACCCTAAAAAGAGGTTCAATTTTTCAGAGGCATTTGCACAAAATTAATGGACACAGAATTCAAAAGGTTGCCTAAAGAGGCCATTAGACGCAAATAACCAACTTTTCTTTAGCTCTCTTGCTGGGCTTGACTTACTTCTTACTTAGGCCCAATGGACATGATTAAGAGAATCAAATCACATTCTTGGGTTTAGACTTGGGTCATGCTTTTGCTAACCTTTTCAATCTTTGGTATCGAATAGTGGCGAAGTTAGAAGTGTATTCACGATTAATATATACATATAAAAATAATCTTGGGATTATCACTACATAAAAAATGGTCATTAGCGGCAATAGATTAATTACCGCTAAATATGTATTTTTAGCGGCAATTAGCATTCTTTGTATATGTCCCTAAAGCCTTTAGCTACATTGGTTCTAATGACACTTAACTAATGTCGATAAAGACTTTAACACTCTTTATTCATGTCTATGTTTAATGCCGCTAAAAGTTATTTTTGTTGTAGTGTATATACATTGTGCAACTTTTTGATGAAGGGGGTAAGCAGGTCATCCTGCACTACATGTGGCTACCTACGCCACTTATGTTCAAGTTGAAGCCCACAGATGTTAGTACACTATACAAAGTGTCATATATTTGATTTTTTTAAGGTATTAAACGTTTTGTTAAATCATGTAAAATTATTATATTTGAGTAATTTTATAAGGTGAACATCCAATTTGACTAACCATGGTCAACTAATAAGAAATTATAGGTAAATACTTATCATCTATTTATTGATTTTATTTAAACAGCTTGTGTGGATAATAGTATGAAAAGAGAAGAAAAAAAAATATAAAATATGAATAATTCTTTTTTTTTCATTCCTTTGAGTAATGCATAATTGTAAATCTTTCTCGCCAACATTTTTTCTTTTATCTTTTTTCTTGTCTACCATAATTCTTCTTTATATCACGTTATTCTTTCATATTCTTTGGATATATTTGGTATTTCTTTTAGTATTAATATCATTTATATGATACAATTAAATAGTTTTATATGTAATTATGAAATCTTTAGTTATAAATTTTATAATGTTTTCATACTTTTATAATGGATTATAGGGGTTCAAATTTTTTTTAAAAGAGATCTTATATTATTTAATATCTTGCTTTCATAAATTTGTAAAATACATTATAGTTAATTATACTTTAATAATTAATTATTAGTATAATATTTCTTGTAATAATTCATAAGATATGAATAGATATATATAAATTATTGTACGTTATATAACATAACAAATGTTTATATTTAAGTTTTTTTATTATAGTTTTGAAAACCTTTTTCGATTGAATTAATTGTTATACAAACAAACAAAAAAAACTAGAAGTGGTAGAAGTATTTAAAATAGAATTAAGGCTTCACCTGTTTGAGCATGCCAACTAGAATATTTTTTTACTTGTATAATATTTTATTAGTATAAAATAGGTCTAAATCATCAATATTAGAGTGATTGTTACGATTCACAAGACATTCAAAGTTAAAACAATATCCTTTTAAATTTAATTATTTGATATAGTTGAATTTGAAATGTCTAAGAAGATGACTCAAACAATTGAAGATGGTTTTACAAAGCCAATGTTAAAACATGATTGATTCAAATTGAAGTTAACAAATTGAATCTGGCTCAAAAGCAAATATACCTTTTGAAATGGAAAAATTATGCGGAAAAACAAATATATACTAGTTAATTAGCTAACATAGCTATAGTTTGAATTAATTACAACTCACAGCTTAAATTTAGCTGTAATTACGTCTCATGTCCTCTTTTATACATATACAAATTATACACACATATATACAATGATATGACAGATATAGAAATACAATTAGCCTCTCTCCACTCTCTGCCCTTTCTCGCTCGCCCCTCTCCTCTCTCTCCCATTCTCGCTCGCGTCTCTCCTCCCTCTCCCAATCTCGCTCGCCAGATATACAAATACATACGTATATTAGTTATATATACAATTATCTGACAAATATACATATACAATTCATCTCTCTGCCCTCTCTCGCTCGCCCCTATCCTCTCTCTCCCAATCTCGTTCGTCAGATATACAAATACATATGTATCTCAGTTACATATATATAATTATTTGACAGATATACTTATACAATTCGACAGATACACATTTACAATTCGCCTCTCTCCCCTCTCTTGCCTCCCTCTTACAATCTCTCTCGCTTCTCTCCTCCCTCTAACATGTAGCTACAAATCGTAATTAGCAAACTATAGCAATGGAGCATAATTAAATTATTTTTTGGTGGCTATATGCGAAAGTTTCCCTTTTAAAATAGTTAAGAGTTTGAGATAGTTAAAAATTAAAGTAGAACCAAACTCTAACTTTATATACCGAATGATATAAATATAATTTATTATCATGCAAGAAAAAATCTCAAACCGTTAAAAATCAATAACCTGAGTTTTTTTAAAGTTCTTACCGAAATCTTCAAACCAATAACTAACTAATCATAAATTAATAAAAAAAATCAATTTAAATTATTAATTTCACTTCATTTTGATGAGAGGGAGTTGCTCGGATGGTAAACACCCCTGCGAATTTGAGTCACCAAGGGAGCAAAAGGAGTGGGAGCTCTAGGGAGGGTAAAAAAAAAAAAAAATCACTTCATTTTTTAACCGCTCTAAGTTGGAAGACAAAGGAATCATTTAAATTAAGTTGGGATTGTCGATGAAAAAAAGGAAGAAAGAAAAGAAGACAGTTTAAAAAATAGTAGAATTTCAATTTTTTTTTAATTTCTCGGGATTCAAATAGCCTCACACACCGCCAAATTCGCCCGAGTCACGAGTTTGAAACTCAGAAAAACTGAGTTACCATATATTTCTAAGCCCACTAAATATATAAATGGAGAACCCTATTCACTATAAACTCCTTGTAGCAGAGTGTAGTTTTTCCGTTTAGGGCAGAGAAGCCTCGTCACCGTTCACGTTACAACTCCTCTCATCGCCGGAACCCTTTCAACTCTTCATCACTGGCGCTGCATCTTCTTTAACAAGGTATGTGTATGTGTTTGTGAATGTTCAATTTATATATCAGTTTAGTGCGTATGTATGTGTGGATGAACACATTACTTTTTCCTTCGTATATAACGGTAGCCGGAGACTTATATGTTTAAGTTGAGTTCAAACCTTAATATCGACTTAAATATACAGATTGAATGCTTCATAATCTGCTGATTTTTTTGTTGTTGTTGTTTTGAGTTATTGCCATCTATGGACAAAACCCTAACATATTCGTTGTATATGTGAAGTAGGTGCAATCCAAACCAGTATAAGTAACAAGGTGATCATCACTGTGGTGAATAACTGTTTTGTGTTGTGTTTTAAAAACAAAATAAATTGGTGTATGGTGTGATTTGGATAGATTGTGAATTTGATTGGTAGAATGAGGGCTTCCGTGGATAGATCAGTGAGGCGAGGCAGAAAAAGGCGTCAAAACTATGTTCAGAATGATCAGGTGGATCCAAATGGGAAGAAACGGGCTATAGTGTTGAGGCCTAAGGCGTTTTTGGGAACATATGTTAGGAAGGAGTTTAAGGGCTGTGGGAAATATATGGGGAAGATCATATCTTATGATACTGGTTTGTATAAGATTGTTTATGAGGATGGAGATTTTGAAGATATGGATAGCAGTGAAGTGAGAGTGGTTTCGTTTGAAGATGATGAGTTGAATGGTCAATGGTTGAAAAGAAAGAAGAAGCTGGACAAATTAGTTGCTAGGATGGAGGCAACGAGTACTAAGTCTTGTGTTGAGAATCCAGCTGAGCCAGTTAATGGCGTAATTGATAAGTTTGAGCCAAAAGATCGGGGCATAGGTTGTTCAGATAAACTTGAGGTCAACCACCAAGGACGTGATTCTGATTTGGTGAGTGATTTGTCTGAATATTATATGGAGCAGGATTTGAGTTCGGGGGTAGAAGTGCCTCTAATTCCTGCACCTCAACTGCCTCCTTCATCTGACAGTATTGGTATTCCAGAGGAGTATGTATCATACCTCTTGTCTGTCTATAGTTTTTTACGGTCGTTTAGTATCAGATTGTTTTTATATCCATTTGGACTTGAAGATTTTGTCGGAGCACTCAACTGCTCTGCTCCAAACACATTGTTCGACTCTGTTCATGTTGCCCTTATGTGTGCTTTGAGGCGCCACCTCAACAAGCTGTCATCTGATGATTCTGTGCTTGCATCAAAGTGCCTAAGGTAAGCATATCTAATTATTTCATGAAGGAATTTTTCATCATGTGGTTGATTGTTTAAATGAAATTTTTGATTGTTGAATACTTCTAATGAAATTCTGTTTTCATACTTATTTCCTTGAGTGCTTCCACCAGTCTTCCACAAAAATATATGAAACCAGAAGAATGTCTAGAGATCTGCTTGCAGAAAGAAACTAAAAGCTAGATAGTTAGACAGGGTTATCAAATTGATAAGCCCAATTTACCTATTGCATTTATGACACTATACAGTTTCATTTCTACTTGGTCTGCTGTCTGCCTGCACTTGCACAGGGTTATTCTGCCGCTGATACCTACCTAAAGACATTGGAATGCCATGATTTTCTGATAGCCCTTTGGCTAAAAGTCAATCTACTCTAGATTGTGAATGAATAATTTCCACAATTCCACTACAATCATGCAACTTTATTAGCAGAAGCCAATTGCCTTTAAGTAATGACATGATATTTCAACTGTCCTATGTTATTCTTATTGATTTACATTGCTCATATATCTTTCTATGGATGAGCAAAAGTCGGGGAACTTCCCTTTGCATTGCATATTTATGCTTATTATTCTTAGATTATTTCATATCAGGTGCATTGTTGAACACCGACTGATGAAAAGTCTGAATTAACTTATGCTGCTTGTTGATAGGGGCATTGATTGGGGCTTGCTTGATACAATGACTTGGCCAGTGTTTTTAGTTCATTATTTAACAGTAATGGGATACATAGAACAACCTGGTTGGAAAGGTTTTTATCCCCATACTTTGCAGAGGGAATATTACTTGTTATCTGCTGGAAGGAAGATCATGGTTTTGCAGATTTTGTGTGATGATGTTCTAGAATCTGAAGAAATAAGAACAGAAATCAACACGCGTGAAGAATCAAAGTTAGCTATTGAGTCAGATATACTTACAGATGTTGCTTGTGTCAGTGCACCAAGAATAGTGCATCCTAGATATGCTAAAACTTCTGCCTGTAAGGAACAAGAAGCAACCGAGCTCTGTAAAGAAAATCATGAAAGAAAGCAGGGTTGTAGTACCGATAGTTTAGGACCCAAGGTTAGTAACCAAGATTATGTCTCTGGTGTAGTTCAAAACAGTAACAGTGATGAGTGCTGTCTCTGCGCTATGGAGGGGACTTTGCTTTGCTGTGATGGGTGTCCATCGTCTTACCATGCAAGGTGCATTGGAGTTAGCAAGACACATATACCAGAAGGGGAATGGTATTGTCCTGAATGTACAATCAACAAAATTGAACCAAAAATTACGAGGGGAACAACTCTGAAAGGAGCAGAGCTTTTTGGTGTTGATTCGTATGGACAGATCTTCATGGGTACTTGCAGTCATTTGCTTGTGTATGTCTCTATAACTTCTTTTCGGATAAACTCTGTTCAGTTTCCTTATTTGGCTGTTGGATGATCTTCTATTTGGAGATATAGAATGCACTTAATCCTTTGTAGTTTAGGCTGCAATCAGCTTTAGCCCCGTCTCTTTCTGAAACACATTCTGATCTTTGGTTGTAGGTTGAAGGCCTTGGCTGGCGCAGACTCTATTTTCAGATACTACAACGAGAAGGGCATTCCCAAAGTCCTGCTAGCACTTAATGCAAATGCGCAGCACAGTACTTTATATCTGGAGATATGCAAAGGAATAATGCAATACTGGAAAATTCCTGGCAATGTCTTTTTCCCTGATGGTGAACTGTCTGAAATTGGTTCCGACAGACCAAATGGAACAAAATGTACTAGTTTCTCTACATTGTCACTTAGTTCATTGATCAAGGGAAGTGCTGAACAAGTTGGAGTGGAATATATTGCACCTGGTGGTTGCTTTTACATGGGGTCATCCTTTAAACCTCAACAATACATAAATAGTTATCTGCATGGAGATTTTGCTGCATCTGCTGCTGCAAATCTAGCTGAACTTTCTCCTGGAGAAAACCAAGGTACTGAGAGTCATGCTTCAGACAATAGGCAGAAACTTTCTGCCAATGCTTTACTTCAAGCAAAAGCTTTCTCATCAGCGACAACACGCTTTTTTTGGCCGAATACTGAAAAGAAGGTTGTGGAAGTACCAAGGGAAAGATGTAGTTGGTGTCTTAATTGTAAGGCTGCTGTGACTAGTAAGAAAGGATGCTTGTTAAATGCTGCAGCATCAAATGCCATTAAGGGGGCTGTGAAGATACTTGCTGATCTTCGTTCTGCAAGTGTTGGGGAGGGAAATCTACGTGGTATTGCTACATATATTATATTGATGGAGGAGGGCTTATGTGGTCTGACAGTTGGTCCTTTTCTAAGTACAGCTTTTAGAAAAAAATGGCGTAAACAGGCAGAAGAAGCTACTAGTTGCACCGTGATAAAGTCTCTTCTGCTTCAAGTAAGTTATTGAGGAAATTTTATTTTGTTGATTTTGTTAGCACTTTGTGTAAGTGTCTGTCACAACATGCTTTCTTCATCAATTTCAGTTTCTTGGTTGACTAGATGAAAACTAGGTTTGTTTCGAGGAAGGATGTGAACACCAAAGAAGGAAAAGTTGGTTAGTTCTTTTAGGGGTCAGAACTTGATGTGACCACAAATAAGGAAAAGTTGGTTTAGTTCTCTTAGGGGTCAGAACTTATAATTTCACATAATTTATTTTGTTATAAATGGCAGAGCTGTATACCTATCTAGTTTTATTCCTTCTACTTCCAAGCAAACAAGGGTAATATCAGTTATCCCCTCTTCTTACCTCCTCTCCTCTTGCCTCTCTTTTTTCACCTATTCCAAACATTATTCCTTTACTGGACTATAAACTAAACAGTATTAGACATTGTAGTGGTTTTTAAGATAAACAACATTAGCATTCATTGTAAACAATTTACATTTAATAATACAAGAAAATCTAATAAATTAATGTTATTGCTAAAGGAAGCGACTTGTTTAGTCTATGTTTTATATTATTAAGACAAATGTTGTTGGTATTAAATAATGAGAGAATCACATGGGAACTAAATGGAGGAAAAGTTACCATCAGGCATCAGCACTGAACAACTTCTAAAAATATCTGTTGCTGGACGAAGTTCAGAGGTGCATCCACACTATTTGCACATGAAGCTTTTGCCCTCAACTTTGTGCTTGTTCATTGAGGAATTTTTTTTTACCGCAAGTGCAGTAGTGACATGAGCCTTGTGCATTGATTACACTAGCGGCTCATCAAACTAAATTTCAATAATGAATCTGGCATAATACTACATTGCAAAATCTAAATTTTCTTAAGTTGCACTCTTGATTTGATATTTTACGAATTTATGTGCTAAGAACTGAATACTTGTTATTTATAAACTGGTAGCTTTGCATATAAATAAGAAGCCTTATCCCAGTTTTAAACTTTTTCTATGAGTCCCCAACTGTTGATTTTCCAAAGTGCTATTGGATCCTATTGTATATTATAGCTATTATTTACATATGATATTACCTATACAAAGTATGTTCTTCATGCTCAAGAACATATTGTATGCACTGCAGTTTGAGGAGAATATCCGGTTTGTTGCTTTTTCTGGGGACTGGTTTAAGCTTGTTGATTGTGGGACATCTGAATCTTCCATCACTCATTCAACTGCTGGTGTTGTGGAATCATCTCATAGGCATAAATCACGGAGGCGAGGTAGAAAACCATCGTTAATGGTTAAAGTAACGGCTGATGATTGCAAAAATAAACTGAAGGACTTCACTTGGTGGAGAGGAGGCATACTCTCGAAGCTTCTCCTCCAGAAAGCAACTCTACCTCGATCAATGTTGAAGAAAGCAGCGCGTCATGGTACCTTGTGTACCCAATGAACTTATTTTTGTCCTTCATAGAAGATTTAATATTTTTTGTTTACATAAATTCAGTGAAATACAAATTTTGGAGTGGGGAAGAATCCACTAACAACTTTTACTCAAGCAGGTGGTTTGAGAAAGATACCTGGTATTTATGATGCTGAAGGGTCCAAGACTGCCAAAATAAGCAGGCAGCTTGCTTGGCGAGCTGCAGTTGATGTGTGTAAGACAATATCACAACTTGCACTTCAGGTGATTTATGACATTGCAATAGATGATTTAATTCCTTTCTTTCTGCAGAGAAGTCTGAGTCAGGCTATGTATTCTGATAATGTTTGGTCATGTAACAGGTCAGGTACCTAGATATGCATGTGAGATGGAGTGATCTTGTTAGTCCTGAACAGAGCCTCCTGGATGGAAAAGGTCCCGAGTCAGAAGCATCTTCCTTTAGAAATGCTTCCATATGCCATAAAAGAATAGTTGAAAATGAGGTTAGATATAGTGTTGCTTTTGGAAATCAGAAACATCTCCCATCTCGTGTCAAGAAGAGTATAGTAGAAGTAGAGCAAAGTCAGGAGGAGGGAAAGGAAAAATATTGGTTTTCTGAGTCGCGGATTCCTTTGTATTTAATAAAAAATTATGAAGAGAACTTGGAAAAAGATCTCCCCTCAGCCAACAAGTTTGCTGATGCACTTCCCAAGTTGCAGAAAAGGTGCTTGGTGGCTTCTTGTAAAGATATATACTCTTATCTTGCACAGAAGAGAGATGGCAATGCTAAATATTGTTGTGCTTCATGTGAAACGGATGTGTTACTTAGGTATCCATTTAATGTTTATTTCAAATTTCCTTTCAGCTCTTTTATACAATCCTTTATTGATGCAATCTCTCTTTTCCAGAAATGTAGTCAAGTGCAATACATGCCAAGGTACCAATTGATTAGCTACTTAATGTATTATTATTTTTGGCTTGCACGTCAGTCAGTGTATCAGCAATTGATCTATTAAACTTCTGAGAATTTTTCTTGTAGGTCTATGTCACAAGCAATGTACCATTAGTTCAACAGTTATTGCTAATGAGGAGACTGAGTTTATGACCTCCTGCAAACAGTGTTATCAGAATACAGCTTTAACACAAGCTGAAAGTAGTCATGAATCTCCTACTAGTCCTTTACTGATGCAAGGAAAAGACATTCCAATTCCCGTGTCAGCCAGAAAAGGAGGAAAAGTTGGTAGTTCTAGCAATCCATCTGCATCCACCGCGACTCTAAAGCATTCTTCTAAGGTGAAGCATGCTAGTTCAAATTTGGCGACACGATGGAAGCACCACTGGGGCGTTATTTGGAGAAAGAATAATGAGGATACTGGTGATTTTAGATTTAAACACATTCTTCTGAGGGGAAATCCAGATTGTGGTTCAGTAAGACCTAGTTGCCGCCTTTGCTGTAAGCCATATGATCCTTATCTAATGTACATCCATTGTGAAACATGCACATGTAAGTTTTTTCTATGCAAGAATCTTGTATGTTTGTCTTGAGTTTGTTGGTTACCTTTCTTTGGGTTGACAATTAATCTTGTGAGTCACAGATTGGTACCACGCTGAAGCTGTTGAACTTGAGGAGTCAAAGATTTTTGAAGTGGTGGGGTTCAAATGTTGCAAGTGTCGTAGGATTAAAATGCCCATCTGTCCTTACTTTGATCCAACAAGCAAAAGACAAGTAGTGGAAAAGAGGACGTGCGCAAAGGCTTCAAAGATGGATAGACAAGGAATTGATTCTGGGTTCATTTCAGAGCTACAGAAAGATGAGAATATGGCCACTCCAGCTTTAGAGGATAATAAGCCTCTTTCCGCTGTTGAAGAACTTACTGAGCACTTTCCAGTGGGTGATTGTGAACGGAATGTGGAAACAATGTCTGTGCCAGGTCAAAGAGAACAGTCAGTCAGAAGTCATATAGAGAATGAGACTGATTTGAAATCTTCTGAGTTATCCACTCCTCTTGGAGGAGGAAACATAGTGTTCCCTAAAGATGAAATGCCAACTCATGTTGAACCGGGTGCTAAGCAGCCAGTAAGAAGACATATAAGACTTGAGAAGGATTCAGATACCCCTTTTGCAAGCGATCCCTTGAATGTTCTGAGGAATACTTCAAGGGAGAGTTCTGAGGAATATGGTCATGGATGCAAGTATATGGAGTTTGAGCCTCAGACCTGTTTCTCTTTCAACGAATTACTTGCATCGGATGATCTTGGCCCATTGGATGGAGTTGACTCGTCTGCCACTTTAAACAAGGATGTTGAAACATCATCAAGGTTTCTACCCAATAAGAATGCTGATACGTCTTATGTCGAGCACGAGCCTGCAGTTAGTACAATACCTACTGCTGCTTTTGCAGTACCATGTAAGATGTGTTCACGTAAAGAACCATGCCCTGATCTTTGTTGTGAAACATGTGAAATATGGATCCACCGTCATTGTTCACCTTGGAATGACGAGGAGTCTGGAGAAGATGATTGGAAGTGCGGCAACTGTAGGGAATGGAGATGATTGATGCTTAATCACTATGTAAGGTGGTGCATCTTGGGCATACACAATGGCTGATTGAAGGGGCTTACCATTGCTACTTTTCATCACAATTGGAGAATGAAACAAAATGAGAAAGCCCCTCGTGATGTCTGCCAAGTAAATTAGTCTGTTTTTGTCATAAAAAGGTATAATTTCCCCATGATACAGGAGTAATTGGGTTGATTCAGAAAGACTTCACCATGCACAGATTCTTCGAGAAAAGATTATTAGGAGGCTGTGGTAATTCGCTCCAGCCTTGATGGATAAGCAACCTTTCTCATTGGTGCTTATCTGATATTTTTACTGTAAAAAGAGGCCCTTCAGTTACCAATTCTTTTCGTTATCATTGAATGACCTAAACGTTTAAATAGAAAGAAGACATTATGATGGATATGATATATTTACCAGTTCATATAATGGTTGTTGTCCTGCATTTTCATCCACTAGCCTTAATAGCTCAAGACAAGCAATGACGAAATGAAAAATAATCCTATGCTGCTGAATTAACAAGCAGTCCGACAGGACAAAGTTCAATTTAGATTATTGAGTGTTTATCATGTGAAACGCTTTTAACACATCTTCAAGACAACAATGGGCAAGAAATTCAATCAACGCTCTTTCTTTTTCCTAAGTATAATTGTAGGAAACTAAAATACATAGGGGCAAACCAATGTGTAAAGCCTGACTAAAGGCAAATATAAAATTTAAAGGAGAAGAAAGAAAAGAATTCACATCTAAAGACTACAGACCTCACAAAAGCACAAGATATATGTGCAAAAGAATCTCAAAACTCCGATTTAACGTCCCAGAAATCCAATGATATGCTATGCCGATCAGAAGTCTCACCCTCTCTTCCGCCAGCCCTGGCATCCCATTTCTCAATGTCCATCTTGCCTTTGGGACTTGTGGGTGTGCAATATAAACAAATTTTACAGCCGTCGTTTGTGGACAAAGTCCACCACAAATTGAAAACCACTTAAAGCAAACCAGCAAGCAGCGCCCCAGGGTCTGATACTGGTGGAGGTGGAGAGGTTGGCTGAGGAACTGGTGGTGCAGCAGCCGTGGGAGCAGTAGGGATAATAATCAATTGTTCCTTAATGAACTCCTTCAACCTACATAGTAAGAGGAAAGTTTGAAAGTTAATAATAAGTTGGTTATGAACACCAAAAAGTCACATTACAAATGCACATTTTGGTCGTACTCTAGTGTCAGAGTAGAATCTCCAGAAGCAACTGTCATACGCAGTTGAGTTCTATCAGCTGGATCTGTTTCTATTCTTACCTGTATACAACCATAGAAGTTAGATAATAATAACCATATGATACATTATACCACTGACATCCTATATAAGGTACAACAATTACCACCTCCAACAGAAGGAAATGACAACTTTTGACTACAGGCTAATGTAAAAGTTTGTGAACAGCTCTAACCAGTCACAGTTACCATATCATACAAATACAAGTCATACAATATCCAATTGAATCACTTTCAGATTAAGGACATTTCACAGAACATTAATGCCCAGAAACCACAACCCTTAGCTTACCAAACACAACATGGCACGTGTACTGTCAGAGTAGAAAGTTGTGCTAGCAACCAAATTATTTGCATTTGGATCCTGAATAAGAAATCAGAAGGGCAATTTAAGAAATAAATTCACATGGACTGAGCCAAACTAGAGGAATGATAAAAGATCAAAAACTTACAAGCCCTGGACAAACCATCAGGCGTAAACTGTTGAGCAGGTTTGTCATTTCCAGAAGTGACATTGGTCTTACACCTCTAACCTGGTCATATTAGCCAAATAAAGGGATGGTGATTGGGATTACAATAGAAACTACATACACAAAGAAAGAGAGAAGTTCAGGATTTTACTAGTAACGTTCTTATTCTAGTACATACAGATTACAGAAAGATATGTATATTCTACTAGTCAAGCAAGAACTAAAAAAAGACATACCACTTCTTGGAGCTTCAGTGGCGGCCCAGATAGTGATCTCCACTGCGGGAAAAACTCTTCGGCAGATACTGTAATAGGCTGAAGAAACTTATTCAAGATGGCAGGGAGTCGAAGTTTAACATTGACCTGTAAATGCAAAACTACATCAATACACATATAACTATAAGAACTGTGGATTGATGATCAGAAAATAAATGTCTCATACCAACTGCACCCCAAAATTATATGAGAAGTCAAGAACCGCCACATCCCTACTTGGACGGAGGTTGACTACTTCAAGAGGACATTGAACCTGCAGGAGTTCATTTCACTAGGAAATCAAAAGGTGAAAAATGACTTACCAGAACAAAGTGCAGGAAGTCCAATCCTAATAGAAGCACAACAATAATCTAACCTGTGCACGAGGAGGAATTGTCTCCGGTACTAATGACAGTTCTATTCTCAGATGAGATGGGGGCAATATCAGAGCCTGAACTGAAACAAGTGGAGCCGTATTCTTGTTTCCCAAGAAGAGGATCAGTCGTCCATGATGTGCTCGCCACTCTGCTTTTGTGCCAATCTGGAATTGCATAAACAAACTAAGCTAAGAGCTGAAAAGCCCATCAGTGATAGTACCAAAAAAATGACAGAGCAAGTACCTGAATATAAGGATCCTCATACAGTATACCACTGTCTTTGAGGACCAAGGCTTGAAACCTTTCTGCAATATTTCCTATTGGCTACAACCATGAATCATAAAACAAGATGCTCAGAAGCATGAACTTAGAGGTGACAAGGGAAACTGAAGCAAAATTATAAATGTGGCAAACAAGCTCTCTGAATTTGGAATGTGGATCATGTCAGTCTTAGACTAAAATCAGTTAAAAGAACTTCCACTGGCCAGAGCCATATATTTGTGGTCATGGCAAGAATGCCCCTATTACTAGCCAAATACTATTTGGATCTTATTTTGAATTTAGTTAAATTACCATGGGAACCACAGACAGAAGGAGAGGGCAGCATCTTTCTTTCACATAATTACAAGTCATGACATGAAAGCCAGAAGGTAAAGCAAAATTACCAAAGTTGGATGGAAGCAGTACCTGGACTGTTGCAGTCTGTTCTTCAATAGGTGCAAGTGCTAGCGCATCCTCTGCATTTGGAGCAATGCCGACACCGGAACTCAAGTTATGGGCAGGTTGAGGACCTTCAATAGCCAATGGACCTAAAAGATCTCCCAGGACATCAGGTGAAGGTACTGAAGGAGGTTGAGGATCCACAACAGTCAAAGTTCCATCTGGCTCAGTCTCCCCTTGATCTGCTAAGTTACGATCCTGACCATGTAGTAAATGTTAATTATGGTCTTATACTCACCGTTAAACAATTAAATCCACACTTCAGCATAATGGTGCAAGAAACATCTTACCGTGTTGGCCATGCTTGGAACCTTCACTAAACCAAGGTGACTGACTGGCGGAGTACCATTAGCAGAGGGTTGATCTGTTACTGCTAGAGCATTAGAGGTCTGCTGCTGTGTACGCAGCCTGATTGCGCTTTGTTCAGCAGTATCGGCCTCAGTATCTTCAGCCTTTTTAATTAATGAGGACTACATCCAAAGAGAATTTGTGGCTAAAATCAATGATAACTAAAAAAGGAAAAGAATAAAAACAATATATTGTACTCTTGTGAGGGAATAATAATGTAGCTGAAGGCCATCCCTCAAACCAAAAAGGTCAATTATGCAAACACAGTGTAGATAATAATTAATCAAAAGTAAAGTTGGTTTCATACCTGTCGCTCAGGGAACTTAGGCATTTCAGCTAAGACATCCATTAAAGCTGCCCCTTTCTTACTCAACTCTAAGTATTCCACAGCTCGTTGCTGTATTTCAGCATCGATGCAACTCTCATATCTAGGATATTTGTGCAATTTTATCCATTAGCTGATTATATTTGGATATATTGGCACACTGAATAACATAGAGGATGCACAAATTACATCACTCTTAAAACTTACTTTCTGAATATTGCCAATATCTGATTCTGTAGCTCTGGATCTGGTGGTTGTGTGTGCATCAAAATTTTTGCATATGTCGAAAGAAGAATAGGAATTGTTGAAGTCCTGAACAATATCACTGGTGTAAGATAACAGAAAAATGATGGCAAACTGAGATCAAATGTTAAAATGCCCTTACGAAACAGTAGGAAGCTTCTCATGAATGAGGCTGAAGATTTCCTTCGGACTACATCCTGGCCTTCTGGCAAGAAGATGGCTGTATTCTCCAAGGATATATGAACTTACCTGTTCCATCATACAACACCCAAATTAAATATTCCATTAGCTTCGCAATAATGTTTTGTTTCCATCATTGACATGAGGTAGGACCCGCACACATCAAGATTTAGAGTAGAAACATGTGGACAAGAAATTTTGCTCGTTGGGAGTTCATGTTTGCACTATTGCAATTAGTCTGTAAAACTTGAAAAGAAACTGAACACTAGGCAAATCTCTATTGACACATTTTTTTGTTTGTTAAAACTACATGACAGGGTTAGATATTGTTGCCAACAATGAACTACAAGGCAACCCATGTTAGTTAGAGGAGGCCATGCAAACCTTTTTTTTAGGTGTTATATGCTTGAGCTGCAATCTTGAACAAGAAGAGGCCCATGCAGTGTTATTAAAAACCATCGCCTTTTCGTTTTAAGGCAAGTGTGCAAAGTGAGGTTATAGCTTCATGGATTAAGTCATGCGCTTCAAAGAAGTGTGCACTTCAAACAATGGCACGCAAAGTGAACCCTACTACGGTTCTATGAACTCTCAACTTCAATGAGTTGGATTAATACCGGCATTATTGTACATTGAATATAAATTAATTATTTTAATTGCAACTTGATAATTTATTTTTATTTTTTTTTTATGACAAGGAAAACCCGCAGCCGCTACCCTTTGGGTGCGCACAGGGTAAAACCCCCGCTCCTATGCAATAGTTCGCAAACCACATAGGAGAGGTAACCCGCACTAGGCAAGCCCGGTGCGACGAGCTCGACCCAGAAGGCAAATCCCTTGCTTTCGCTGGCAAGGGGTTTCAAACTTGAGACCTCCAACATGGAAGTCCCAAGCCCAAACCACTGGGCCACCCCGAAGGGTCTTAGTGCTGGTAGATTGAAACAACAGTTTTGCAAAGGAGTCCAGAAGTGACTTTGGATTCGTTGTTTGATAAAATTTGTTTTTACTTGTTGCTTATTAACCTGTAAAGTATTACTTGACACATGCAATACCTGAGGAACAACGTGTTTCAACTGTATTTTGCCAGCTCGCTAATATAAGTTGCATTTGGAACTTACCCTCCATGCAGTAAACATGCCCAATCTTTTTACCTTCTTGTCCATCTTAGCATGCAAAATTTTCTGCAGATGAAAACAGGATGTGTTGCCCTTGTTTTGTGTTTAAACATCA